TATATGGCAATGGGATCAGAAATTGGCAAGCCCATTGGTACACACAAGTAAATGCATGTTGATTTAATAATGCTCAGATATTGTACTATAAAATAAGAAATACTGAGTGACAACAGCACTTTTGTGCAGTGGAAAACCACATTAGTTCATCAAATTGATCATAATGGATATTTCTTACATTTCTACCAATTGCCATTGGTTTTTGGCTCGCTTAGTTGGGGACATCAAATTTAACATTTGATTTAATATTCAGCAATATTATTGATCTCCTGCATTGGCAGCATTATACGAGGACTGAACTGAGCGGCTATGCTATATATATAAAGGAAAGACATTAATAACTTTTTTACTGCAGAAATGAACGATCGCTGAGCTGACATAAGCTGGACTGTGACGCTATTCTCTTCCAGACACAAACTCTGTCATCATGTTCCTGTTATCTCTGCTCTGAAACAATAAATATTGTAGAAAGCGCTGTATAAATAAATCTGACTTGACTTCATTCTCACATCCACAATATATCCACGCAACAGTCCTGCTCCGACTGGTTAAAGCTAAATTAGATGCAATTTCTCATTTTTGCCCTCAAAAACAGGAAGTGAACTCATTTAGCACATGTGGGACAGGAAGTGAGGAGCTTCTGGACACAAAGGGTTAAAGTTGTAATAATTTGGCCTGAACGACGACGCAGCGAAGATGAAACAGAGGCACTGAAATAGAGTCCCTTTAACTAGAGTTGAGATGTCTGGATCAGGGGTTAAGGGAGGCTTATTGGTAAGGTTAATACTCTGGAGAAGTGCAGTCCCATCGTCAGATATCTGAATATCACGCATCAGTAATCTTTGGCACGTGACACTCCTTCGAATTATTTGACAGAGCAATTAACACTGGTAATTTTGATGTCTCCTCTGGAAATCGCAGTATACGTTGGTGTTTTCCGCTGCGTCTCTGGGCGTGCACTTCATCCAGAGATGTGTTTAGCGTGATTAGACAGTTCGTTCATTAGTGGGGTTTGTGCTGTTTAATTACCTTTGTCGAGTAGCCATTCGTCAACTACCCGACCGAGTCGGTACGGGATTCTTTGCCTAGCAATAGCCAGCCGTTCATTATCAAAGTTCCCTTTGAAGAACAAACAAATTCAACAGGTTACAATCTGGAAGGTCAAAGGTTAAAGATTAGAGGTTAGAGAGAACGTTTAGCAGGTTATGAACTTTAAAATCATATTTAACACCTTCAAGGCTTTATACATCGTTTTTGAGGTTAGAAAGTGAACCAAGCTCTGGTCACCATGTGTTTTAAACATGAGTTAAGCATATTTATGAGTCATTTTAGAGGTTGAATATTAATTATGGATAATTACAGTGCATTAAAGTGTCATGGTCAATGTGGACAAGCAACATCAAATCGTTGTAGTTCTCATTAAAAATGCAGAAGGAACATTTTCATATCAGTGATGGTGAACATCAAAACTGTAAAACTGCAGGAAGATGTTTTCTGTTTCAGCTCACACACACACACACACACACACGTTCTTGAGAATTAAGAATTAAGGCAACTTTTAATCTGAAATAAACACAAACTATACACTGCAGACATCACATACTATTAAAAATAACAAGAACACAACCAAAAAAAAAAGACCGAATTCAAAATATTAATACAAATGAGAAAAGCAATGATCACACTGAACCTGTTTGATTAGAAGATACAGACACCGAGAATAAAGCAGGACCTGCGGAGCTCATTATGATTCATATATAAACACTTATTGTGAGAGAGAATGTGAGAATCTGCGGTGTCGGCTCTACGAGGGAGAGTTGGCGTTGTAGTGAAATCAAACTTGTCAGTTCTTTAATTATCTATTATTAGCTCTTTAATGAAGTCACTGCTAGCACAGCGACTGACTCTTAATAACTCCTGCTTCTCCACTGCAAATGATCAAATCAAAATATCCACACACACACACACACACTGGGCATCAGTGTCAGCTTGATTAGCAAGAGCAAATCCTCCGGGGTTGTATATAAACACAGCCCTTCCCGTGCGTCTCCGAGTCAGTATTCAGTATTCAGATGGCTTCTTCCAGGGCTGTAAAACACTTATTTTACTATACTTAAGTTTTATTTTGGGTGATTTGTACTTAGGCAAGAAAGACACTATTTTGCTTTCATAATCTTATTTCAGACTACACAGTAAAAGCGAATTAGTAAGACTTGAAAAAAACATGCGAACCGACTACCTCAAAAAAACAAAGTAATGTGAACTAGGAATAGTTTATTGTACTGACAAATTCTTGGTTAGTATAGTTACTTACACGAGAGTTCTTCTAGTAAATTTAAAAAAATAATAAATAATACATAAAATGTAATTGTTACCATGTTTTGCGTGCTGAATGTTTAAGCCTGTGTGTGACTCAAACATGATCAATTACATGATGTTGTCACAAATATAGAAAGATTATATAAACCAAAGTAAAAGTTTCACAAGGTGCTTATCATTATTCAACATGAAAAACGTGTTAATTATGTTTTAATTAATTATGACTGGTTAATGACTGTGATTTCTTGTTGAATAGGAGGATAATTACAGTAATATAAATTAAGTTCAGAGTGCCCAACCAAAGGGAACACTGATCATCATGAGCGTGACTTCAATCAAAAACATTTTAGGAAAATCAAAGTCAGAGAATGTGATTAGAATCAATTCATCTGAATTTGGGTTTTCTGAGTAAACTGGGCATAGTATGTGATTAGCATAGAGGATTCTATTGCAATTAAGTTAAGACATTAAGTAAAGTTAACTAAAATGTCTTAGTTAGAATAACTGTTTTAGAAACCATCCAGAGAACACGTGAAGGGTCTATTTTATAACACTTTATCTATTCGCGTCTGTATATTTCAGTCATAATATGTGTTGTTAAATTAACTTTTTCTCAACTTTGGTAAAACGTACATACACCAAAATTTAGAGTTTTATTCATGTCTATATTCTGAAGGTTTTTACTGAAGGGTTTGTTCATATATCATTCAACCTGATTTTTATAACATTTTATTCCTAAAAACTTGGAGAAAATGTGTTTTTTTCTGTGTTTTCCGATTTATCCCAAATCCCTTCTATATATTCTTAACTCTAATATCTCAACAAAATCAAACAATCATTTTCAATCTGGTTTTATATACATAATGTTCATATTTATATTCTGGAAGTGTATGTAAATTAGTGCATTGATTTTTTAAATATACGATTTCAGAGAACTTGTAAAGGGAAATGTAATAAACTGTGATTAATTAGCTGGTTAAGTATAGTGATATCTATTCATTAAAACATTGACCCTATTCACCTGTAGTGTCCTGCCATAAATACATGTCCCAAAGGAAAATACAGTACTTTTTGCTCATTGTTTGCCGGATTACATCTTACTTCAAATCTTCTACATCTTACTACTTTTAATCAAGTCTAATTTTAGCTAGATACTTTTAATTGACTTTTTAATTCACACAGGATCCATACTTCCACTTTGTTAATTTATTTTCACTTGTGTAATTTTGGAGTATTTTACACTAGAGATCAATGTGAGAACGAGCGTTTGAGAGATGAAAACAGCCCTCACAACAGTTCTATAAACACATCAGATGCTGTTTCATTCTCAAGTCTTGTCTTGGAGAGAGATGTCTCTATCTGGTGTCACTTCAAACACACCAGCTCGTCGTCGTCGTCTTTGTGCTTCTGGAGACGCAGAGGCAGAGATCTCACCATATATCTCACGCTGCTCTCATTTTAATTTTAATTCAATTAAAAATTGAACTGAGATTAAATAAAGTACACAAACCCTTCATGTCTTGTCACAATCAATGCAAAAACCACAACCCAAAAAATCTTAACAATTAAAATGATGAGAAATAAGATTAAAAACTCCACTCTGCATGTAAACTGCCCGTTGTCAGCTCTTTCCCATGACAGGTCTCGTAATCACACTTACACTGCGTTCACATCATGACAGAATTACAGTAATTACACACTTTTATCCTCAAGCTTCAGATCTATGATATCCGCCCCCACAGTTCTGTTTGCAACTCTATTTTTAAGACAGTGATGGTAAACATCACTCATTAATACCCGTCAGCACGACAAACCCCCACTTCTGAACCAGTTCACGCTCGCTTCCCTCCAGAACCCGTTGCCATGGCGACGGCTCTGAGACTCGGATCAATCCCGGACGGGTTTCAGATTCTGCTCAACATTCTACCCACAATTCCACTGCGCTAACTGGGTCACAGGGTATTTATATTCCTCCAGTCTGCGCCCGTTCAGGAGTCCAGATCCGCCTCATTAACATGCGCAGATTCCTCATTCCCGCCACGACGACACCAGTACATGTTCATATTCAGCTGTGTGTTGGTGATGATCACGGTCGAGTTTAATGTGCTGAAACGCCACATGAATCAAAGACGCACATTTGACCGAATTCGCTCATCAGCTCATGATCGTATTAGATGCTGTTCAACAAGCTTTATAGCTTAATCCAATTCATTTCATAACTGATGAACTTTACACAGTTATTGAACTGAAATTATGACTGAACCTTCAACAATAGAATTTAGCTCTCTAACTTAGCTTTTAGTTAAGGATTTTCTGGTCATTTGAGTTATAACTTATTTTTATTTAGTTTCTCTCACTGTACAGTTGGTAAATGTTTTATATATGTATGTTTTTAATTATAACTGTGAAACACTTTGGGCAACAACATTGCTATTAAATGTGCTATAGAAATAAAAAAGTTGAAAGTTAAAGTTGAAAAGTTAAAGTATTGTCTTTAGAATTTGTCCCATATTTGATAAAGTTTGCATCACTGATTCTGATATTGACCTTGACAAACACAAACAGATTTGGTGTGATCATTCAAAGGTTTAACAGTTTATGACCATCATTTTACACAGAAAACATCTTCCTCAATGACAGAGACAGTGTGTGTGTGAGTGTGTGTGTGTGTGTGTGCTCACCTGAAGGGAAGCGCTCGATGACGGGCAGATTGTCCACCTGTAGCGTAGCGTTCCCGCCACTGCGAGTGAATCGCACCACATGATATTTCCCGTCGCTCACCATCACGCCGGCCTCCTCGATCACGATATCATCCGTCCCCACGTTAAAGATCACGCCGACCTTCCCACGCTCCTGACACACACACACACACACGGGGGAGAGAGAGAGAGGGAGATCAGGGGCGGCTCAGAATCACCCATAAATGATCTCTTCATGCTGAAAGTAGTGTCACAGCTGGTCAAACTCATTCATCACTGGTTTCTTTTATTAGTTTCTATATTCTGATTATTATTCACTTTCAAACAAAACCAAACTGTTTCCTTTCAAAATCACACACAGTTGATTTATCTACCCCGCCCCCATCTGCTATTGGTCAGTCAAACTGATAGTCCCGCCCCCACCTGCTATTGGTCAATCAAACTGACAGTCCCGCCCCCACCTGTTATTGGTCAGTCAAACTGATAGTCCCGCCCCCACCTGCTATTGGTCAATCAAACTGACAGTCCCGCCCCCACCTGCTATTGGTCAGTCAAACTGATAGTCCCGCCCCCAACAAGTCGCCTCCGCACCTGGGTCAACTGGTCCAAAGGTGAGACGGAACGTCACGTGGTTATATGGTTATGGGGCGATGCCGAGAGTTGAACAGACACTCGCGGAGTCGAAAGTTATCTATACACCCCTTTTGAATAAGAAACAATATGAGTCTGTAAAACTTGTCAAAACTCAATTAATCACGAGCAGCGTGTCGGACATCGTATTGTCCCTCACACTACCGCCCCCTGGGGTTGCATGCTCCTTATCAGCGCGGTGTTTGGGCATCATCATTCCTAGAGCGCCATCGACGCAGCGTCTCGTTCTCTTCTCAGGGAACTATAGTTACAGTCGTAACCGGAGGCGACTTTCAAGAAAACTACCATGTTTTTAGACACCGCTAACCCGCATGCAACCCAGCTTTATTCAGCATCATGTAAATGTTTGATCGTGTGTGTGTGTGTGTGAGTCTGAGAGTGAGAAACCGGAAGTCGAGATGAAAGATTCAGCGATTGAAGCTCTTCTCCGAGCGTTGGGTACACGTTACGTCATGCCGTGTTTATTCCAGCCGTTCAGAGATGAACTCATTTATTTATGTGACATATATATGATTTCACACACACAAAACACCAACAGCCAAATGTGTTTCTGTGACAAATGGACGGTCCATGAACACAATCTAAAAATAATTGTCTTTGTTTTTCCTCAATACAAAATATCCTTGAAGCAAGAAACATTTACCTGGGAAATTAAGACTGCTTAAAAACATGCAACTACACCAGAAGCACACATTAATGATCGTATGCCTGCTGATGCTAATGGAAATGAGCTTCTCCCATGTTCATTAGGTTAATTATCTGAACATGCTCTTCGCCCAACTTTCTTAATAAAACATCACGTCTTGTTTTCCAGCACAGATATCATTCTTAAATCAAGACACAACAGATATCTGCCAGTGAGGAGAAGAATACACTCAACTCAGATCTCTGTTCTCTTTCTTCTGTCGTCTCAGTCAATGTGTCTTGCTTTACGAATGATTCGATATTTGTCTAAGTTAGTTTGGAATATGAGTCGCAGCAGAAGTTATATTCAGGGAAAATCTGTAACCTCTCTCTCTCTCTCAGATGTGTGTGTGTGTTCAAGAGGTTGTGAAATATGACACGCGTCGCAGCAGATGGTTTGTACATGCGTCTCGTTCGCTGTGTGAACGTTAGCTAACACACACTCTGTGAATACTGATGAAGTGATGAAAGCAGCCTGACCTCTGACCTGATACAGCCACGCCCACTCTCCTGTCAATCATCACTGTACTGAACGCTGTGTGTGTGTGTGTGTGTCCTTCATTAGTCCTTCTGTTCTGTGTGTTGATCTGTGTAAACACAGATAAATCACAGTCTGTTCACACACACACACACACACACACTGGCTTATTTATCTATGTAAATGAGTTGATTATAATGAATGCGCAGAACACAAACCGTTGAGAGACTTCAGCTCAGTTTCATACGCCTGAATTAAAACATTTGGACATAACTGAAAAAATATATATAAAATACATAATACAGTATAAAAAACAACAAAATTACAAAAACTTTTAAATTACAAACTTTAAAAAATAAAAGCTAATTCTAAATGAGCAAAACTCGATCAGAGCTTCTCCGTGTGATAACTCTTGTGTTAATCACCGTTCTCAGCGCTAACGATGAACACTTTAATTAGATAATAATGAAGCGCTGAGGAGACAGACAGACGTCAGTGTGAGACACGTGTGTGTGTGTGTGTGTCTTTAAAAACACACTGAGACTGTGAGACACGATGTTCTGCTGTGACGTCATTTACAATTGAACCCAAAAACTACAAGTGTGTCTGGACTCCGACAGCTTGGTGAAGTGAACGTTGGTGAACTCCCATTGGTCCGTGTGCTGATGATGTAATAGGGGACGCGTTTCTTATGAAGCAAAGATGGAGGATCACAACGGTTATGTGTGACAGATGTAAAAGAATCAGCAGATACTGATGTTTGAGATCTGTACGAGAAAATCCCTCACGAAGAACCCACGACCCTCCGCAAACACACACACACCTGTTTCATCAAACCCTGAAAACACTAGAAATACGTCCCCAATAAAACACTAAACGTGTGTGTGTGAGAGTGAGATGAGAGGATGATAATGAGTCTTTCTCACTCGACAGTAAAGAGAAGTCTGGAAGCTCATCCTCACTCGCTCACAGCTGCCAATTAAAGCGGCTCGTGTGATTGGCTCGTGTGATTGGCTCGTGTGATTGGCTCCGTGACGGTGAGAGAGAAGCTCTCAGATCCAAGATGGCTGACAGTTTCACCACTGTAACGTGCAGTAATTGGGCTCTCAACGCAAACACACTCACAGAGAGACTCACACACACAGCTGGAGATTCACAAAACACTGGGAATTTACGTTTAAAGGGATTACATGTAAGATTTTTATCTCTCTTCCTCAGGATTTATCAATCAAAAATACAGTACAACAGTGAAACATTATTCTAATGTAAATCTGATGTTTTTTGTTGTGAATATACAGTAAAGTGTGATTTATTCATGTGATCAAAGCTGAGTTTATCATCATTACTCCAGTCTTCAGTGTCACATGATCCTTCAGAAATCACTCTAATATGAGGATCTGATGATCAACACACGTTTATGATTATTATCAATGATCATATTTTTGTGGCAAGAGTAATACTTTAAAGGGTCAGTTCACCCAAAAATAAAGATTCTGTCATTAATGACTCTCCCAAGCCCGTCAGACCTCGTTCATCTCCAGAACACAGTTTAAGATATTTTAGATTTAGTCCGAGAGCTTTCATTGGAGATTTGTGTACGGTATACTGTCCTTGACCAGAAAGGAAATAAAGACATCATCAAAGTAGTCCATGTGACATCAGTGGGTTAGTTACGGTTGTCAAACTGGGGGCCGTGGCCCCCTGGGGGGCCACTTGATGGCGTTAGGGGGGCCGCAAAGAAATTCTAGAATATGAAATTATTTAAAAAAATTATTTTACCTGTATGCAAGTTTGGATTGTCCTATGTGAAATCTGCATTGCATGATTTCTTTTATATTGTAAAACTTGTATAAAATTGTATGTCTTCTATATTGAAAAAGTATTTCTTTAAGTAGAGTAGAATTTTTTTTTTGTTTCTTGCTGAAAAAACAGATTGCTGTTCAAATTTGCAAATCAAACTTGAGCCACTGTCATTTACTACCTTAAAGGGTTAGTTCACCCAAAAATGAAAATTAAGTCATTAATTACTCACCCCCATGCTGTACCAACCCCGTAAGACCTTCGTTCGTCTTCAGAACACAAATGAAGATATTTTTGATTAAATTTGAGAGCTGTATAACTACCACATTGGCTCCTAAGGGACTGCCTCTTGACGGCCCAGAAAGTCAATGAAGAAAATGTTTAAATATCCCAAGTGACTACCGTGGCTCAACTATATGTTTATCAAGCGACGCGAATACTTTTTGTGCGAAAAAACAAACAAAAATAACGAGTTTATTCGACTATTTCTTTTCTTCCTTGTAGGCCAGAACGAGACTTCCTTAGATTTCCACGACGCATGCGCGAGATTTGCGATCTGCGCACACCAGCTTACACTACTTCAGATCGCAATTCTCGCGCATGCGTCGTGGAAATCTATAAGGAAGTCTCGTTCTGGCCTACAAGGAAGAAAAGAAATAGTCGAATAAACTCGTTATTTTTGTTTGTTTTTTCGCACAAAAAGTATTCTTGTTTCACCCTACACAAGGGGGCCGCCTCCTGAAAAAGTTTGAGAACCACTGAAGTGTGTTGAAGCATCGAAAATACATTTTGCTCCAAAACTAACAAAAACTCCGACTTTATTCAGCATTGTGTTGTGTTCCGGGTCTGTTGTGGAACTATCTATCTGACAAACTGAATCTAACTGTGACTGAAGGTCAAAGGTCATCTGACTAATCTTGTGAATGTTTCTGACTGCAGTTTTAATGATCGAGTGTTTCTTCATCATCTTCCCACAGACGACTCTTCCTACATGCACTGATTCCCTTCTAATTGTTGTTTTAATGTTTCAGCAAACAATAGCCAACAAGGACTGAAGCACGAGGGACACGCTTCAAAACCAGGGCGACATCAGCGCCGTAAACATCATTAAAACTGTGGCGCGCACACTCCCAGCATCCCTTGGGCTCTTCTGGAATCACTAAACAGAAGAAGACGCTTCTCTCACACACATCTTCCCACAATGCACCTCTCTGCTCAGGATCAGGCTGATTAGCGGATGCAGAGAACTGATCTGATGATTCATTAACATATTCACCACAGAAACTGTTGTACTGGCTTGATCAAGAACACAATAAAAAGAGATCTGAAGTCAGATTAACATATTTTGTAACATGTACCATGGCTATACCATCATTTGTTGGATATTCAATATGATTGATACAAGTACCATGGTACATGAATATGGTAATATTGATAAAATCATATATCATAAAGTAACTTATGCAGGTAGTCACATTTTCTGTAAAGCTGCTTTGACAATATGTACTATCTATCTATCCATCCATCTATCTATCATATTT